AGATCTCAGTCTTACAGTTATGTTTACATTTTTGGTAGTTTCCTCTAGAGCCTCCAGTCCCATTTTGTTTTGACAGCTATTCACTAAGCCAAAGAGAGGGACATAAACTTTTCTCTGAATATCTGTAAGCTGAATGTGAAACAAGTCTGCACAGAATGTCAGGTTTTAGCCAAGTTCTGAGCTCCTGGTTTGGGGGATTATCAGTCAGTTGTACATGATGAACTGAATTTGGGGTTTTGAGCTCCAGCTACTGAGGCCAAAGGGAGTTGCGAGACAGCCAAACATTTCACAATAAGGTTGGTAGAGAAATGTAACTTCTAATCTAGTTATAATGTAATACAGCAATGAGCATTAGAAATACGCAGCAACATCCTATTAAAGACGTAATGATGATATCCTGGATTCAATGCATTCAGCTACTACAGCTACTCAAGATCATACCAGAAGCATTAACAGCATATCATTATTCAGTCAGATGTATGCTGGAATTTTACTGTATTTTTTTTCTGTTTTATTTACCCTTCTGGCAGAACGAGGTCTTCTGTTCATTCAGGAATGTGTTCTCAGGAAACACATCAAGATCACTGTGCTTCTACAAAGATGCTTATTAAGAAAACTAATGATGATGTTAAATTTTATTTGTGTATGGTTAGTATCAGTATCCTGACATTTAAAGCCTCTGCTCAAAATGTGTTGCTGTCTTAAATTCCTGTAGTCTCGCTAGAACTTGCTTACTGTAAATGTATGGCAGGTATTTCCCCAGCCTGTAGACACAGGCCCAGATGGGAGACCAGTGAAAGGAAGGAAAGAAAGAATCAATATATCTTACTAAGTCTCCTGAGGCAATTTTGTTTTCAGAAGTGTGTCATTTTACTCGCTTTGTTTTACCCCCTTCTTCAGATGTTGAAATTACTATGTTTAAAATGCAAAGTGTAAAAGCAGTGGTGGTACCTTTTTGTTCCTTCTGGTAAACACCTTAAAAATTCTGCAGATTAAAGACAAATTGAGATGCAAAGTATAAGAACCAATTAAGATAGAGTGACTTTTATGCACAGAGCAGTTATGGAAAAAACAACCACACAGTGATTATGCAAATCAGCCCCTCACAAACAAAATGCTGGGATTTACATAACAGATAAAAAAAAAATTCTTCACAGTTACGCCTCAGTAACCTTACAGGATCCTTGCACTTTAATTGTATGACTCATTGTAATAAAAGGATTCTACTTGCTTTATCCGAAGTGAAGTATATGTTAAGACATCACCATTCTGAACGATCTGTGTGCTTTTGGGAACCCACACTCTCCTGTCACAAAATGTGGAGTATGTTCTATTTAAAGAGATACAAATCAATGAAAAACAGAGTTTCTGCTTGTATATTCAAAAATTTTAACCTGGCTTACATACTGCATTTTTGCTCTTGAAATAAATGTATACTAATATAAATGGCCCCCTTTTCTTCTTGGACCTTTTATTTCCTTATTTTATTAAATTCATCCATTTCCAACAAAATAAGACTTCTCTGGTGCATATATTACAGGAGAAACCATCAATATAATTTAAATTGCACAGACTTTATCTTGTAGCTTTGCAAAGTGAAACCTTAATGGGAATCCTGATATTTTTAGTTAAGTAGGTCTAGACTATTTAACTTATGGCTTCTGTGCAGTTCTACAAAACATATTATTTTTAAAAGATGACAATTTTATTATAAGACACATGGAAGGAACAACATTTATTCAGCTGGGTGTAGTCTGCTGTACCTTTGCTTTTGTCATCATGTATTCCACTATTTGAGTGTGGTTTTCTTTTTTTTTTTATACAAGCATGACTTGATGTTATGTAAGTTCAGTGAAAAAACAGAAAGATGAGACCATACATAAATTAGCCCTTACTATGGCCTGCCTTTTTTATCACTGAGACTAAGTTAATTGCAGATGAACTTTTTTTACAATACGGATACCTTGTATCCTACTATACAACCACTAAATCATGATGGCTTACCTTCCATCTGCAGACATCTTAGGCAGAGGACACGAAAATATTTATTTATTTGTCTCTTGCACACAGACAATATAGCACTGAAAAAAAATCCTACTGCAACAACTACTGAGCCTTCAAACCCTTCCCTGTCATGTGGGAATGAACAGGAGACCTTTGGAAGTTTTAAATAAGAAAGTACAAGGACTAGAAAACAGGCTTGTCACTGATCTGCAAAGATCAGAGAACTTGATAACAATGTCATTTATCTGCCATGTGGAAAGACCTGTGGTCAGGTCTTCAGTTTGAATGGACCAGAGGAAAAACCTGATCCATGTTTTTGGATGTATTCTTAGATTCAAGTATCTGTGCTGTCCCAGTGGGGCCCACTGACCATCTTTATTCTCTCACACAGCAAGAAATTCCCAGAAAGGTACTATAAAAATAATTTGGGTGGAACAAATTTACATTCTGCTCTGTTTTAAGAGAGATTTTTTAGAAATTTGCAACTAGTTGCAAGAAACGAGGTCTGACAACTTCACTACCACAATTAGATCTTCAGCTTTGTAGCAGGCTAACACATCAATACCCAGTTCCAACTGAAATAAACTGGAAACACTACCGTCTTCCAATAGGGATATGAGGCCTCCTCTTCCCTCCTACCCCCAATATTTTGTAGACAGCAGACTTAAACTTATTCGATGATCTCTTTGTTCTAGTTTATAAATGAGAAACATGTATAGAGCTGTCAATTACAGTCCATTCATGTAGGATGTTATTGGGGAAAATAAAAGTTATTTGGGATATAAAATGCTCAAATATGTCAATGGCACTATTTCATATCGAAATATTTCAAAAAGCCCACACACAAGCCCTTTGCCTCTTTGTAGTACAATGGATGATCAACTTTCTTCTTCAAAAAAAGAATATATATATACACAGCAGAATGTAATGATAAACAGTCCCAGTATTTGATGGAGATGCTGGGAAGATCCAATCCCATCTGCAGCCTCTAGAAGGAAAGAAGACAATTGGCTTGGGATGTGTGACTACTCCAGGTTCATTTCTCCACTCCACCTCACAATTACTGCATGATCTTGGAGAAGAGTCTAGATTCTTAAAATGAGTGGAATATATTCTGGTGTCACTATCAGCATAAGTTATCATATTTTATAGATACCGTAATATATTTCATAATAAACAAGACTTGCCTTACGGTCTAGTACACTTTTCTCAGTAAGCACTGTCATTGTGTAATAGCAGGTTCTTCTTTTCTTTTTTTTTTTCCCACATGAACAGAAAGAAAAAAGAAAAAGTTTTCTTCACTCTCATCTGGAAAGATTCTCCAGGTTGGAATTTCCACTTGTTTTCATTGTTGTTTTAAAAAGGTATACAGCAGTGCATTCAAACTTCCTCTCTACAGACCTACCAATTACAGAGTTCCTCACACTGGAAACCAAGTTTAAAATTAAAAGAATATCTACATAAAAGTGTCATCTAAGCCACTTAAATAGCATGGTGAGATAAAAATTAAAAGACAAATGCAGACTGTTTCTCCTTCTTGTCCTTTTTCCTCTTCTTTTTTCTTCTTGCAGTTTTGTTTTTCCCATGATATCATCAGGCAATTTAATTTCAGTATGGTCTGCACTGGACTGTGCAGATTACAAACTAATGACATATGGACTTCTTACCACTGTAACACCTCTATTCTTGCAAGTGAGAATTTTGAGTGACAGAGCAAAGCTGTTTGCTATCAATTTTGTAAAAACTGCATCTGCCAGATTGCCAAGATCCATTTCACAGATAAAAAAAATGATTAATATTCTAATTTATTACCTGTCTTTATCAGACACACATTTTTTGACACAAATGATAACTTTCTTATAATGAAAAATCTTAGCTATGTTAAAATATTTCCCTGAAAATATTTTACATTTATTCTTCTGAAGTACAAATTATTAAAGATCGAATGACTCTCTAATACCTACTGCTAAAACACACATACACACACAGCCTTCACCTTTTTGTCTACAAAAGTGCCAAAATTATCTGCTAGTATCTTTAGATAATTTTTCTGTCAACAACAAAAAGGATTTTTTCTCTATTATATGAAATGACATTGACAATGTTGAATTAGTTGTGTATTAAATAACAGTGTACCCATACTAAAATATATCAAACTGGTTCAAGAACCCTAGTATAATAATTAACAACAACAAAAAGCTAGTGCTTATATTTTTTACACAAATGTGAACAAACTGAGGCCTGTACTTTAAGTCAGTACTCTCTAGCACAGACCAAAAGAACCCTGCTGACTTTAACGCTATTGACTCCACAGAAACACACACTGGTACTTTTAAAGTATTCTGTGTAAGTACAGGAACTTGGGCAAACAATGTTCAATGGCTGACCTAACAGAATTGCTGAGCAGGAAAAGCATGGCCAACTTCATACATTACTGATGTATTAGAACTATTTCCTTGTTAAAATGCCATTTTCCCACTCTTTCTACATTCTGTAATCCCCACACAGTTTCCTTATTTTCTCAATATTTTATAACTTTTGCCCAAATTTTGCTTTAAGGTAATATGCCCACACACATTTGTCATAGACCTGAAATCCTAAGTGTTACTGTCAGGACATATTTTGCTTATTGATCCCATGGCCACTGTGAAGTTCTGTCATTCCAGTTCTGATAATTCAGCAATAATTCATCAGTAAAATTAACAAGACAATCTGATATATTGAGAATAGACTCAAATAATCATAGAACTATAGAACCGCTTAGGTTGGAAAAGACCTTTAAGATCATTCAGTACAACTGTTACACACGAGTTTGACCCTATTTTTTCTACTCCAATTAATTTCTAAGAGCTTACTAAACCAGGTTTATCTTCTGAGCTTTCTAGTTTTCACTAGAAAACATTTAGCATGCTGTCTAAATAAATGACAAAGAAGAAAATGTCAAGTTAAATCTAATCTGCCAACAGCAGCTTTTTAACCAATCATGTTTTACTTACGTGGAATTTTGTTGAGTTCATTCATGAACTTATCTTTCAACTTAGAAAATGCATCTTCTTTTCCTCCTCCTCCTCCTCCAGGACTGGCTGGCTCGGTGACATTACTTGGAGGGGCTGCTGCTACTGTAGTAGCTGGCGGTGCTGCCAGGGCCTCATGATGACTTTCACTCACCATCTTAACCCCTGGGTAAGCTGTTGAAATAAAAAGAAAACATCAACAAAAAAAGATAAATTTGATATCATTGAAATGGATCTCTCATCAATAAAAGACTAAATAGGCAGAGAATTACTTGGTGCTTATGCTTACTGGGTAAATACAACTGCATCAGTATATTGCTTCATTGTCTTTGTGAAACTTTTATTAGACAAGAGAGAAAAGTCTTTTACAGAGTTAACTTCAGCAAGCATCATTTTATTGCTTAGAGTTTCTCTCCAATGGTGCTGCATTTTGAACTGCTGAATTTGAAACCTAAAAATTCCTGTAAAACTCTCATGCAGATTTACGTTTTGCTCTTCCATTTTTAAAGTATAAGCAAATTGGGTAATAACTGCTCCCTGTGTGCAAATTTCACAGTGTATTTACAGAATTTTTTTTCTATGAGAGTTACAGAAGTGTGGATCATAGCCAAGGTTTCTCTATAAAATAAATTAAGTTATAAGGGTATCATAAAAAACATTTCAAGACTTCCTGTCAAAGGAATAACCTATTGTTTCCTATTTAAGCAAGTTGCATATTAAACATAAATTGATTTGCACCCATTTTTATCTTCACTTATTGAAGATAATTTTCCTTCCAGTTATTTCATGTGACATTCGCTACTGACAATATTCTCTTAAATTATTCATATGTCTCATTGGTGTGTTCATGAAGCTACAACATCTGCAGGGTACCTAAATGCAGCCATATTGAAATCTCTGAGAGGCTGTCACAAAAGTAATCCCACACAAGCATATTTTTATTTCATGTTATTTGATGGGCGTTTTGCAAAACCTTTACTTGAGTGTACATGACAGAGAAAAGAATTTTGGGCCCGTGGGGTGAAGGTGAGATGACAAACACAAAGCAATTTCAGTATCACAAGAATGCTGGTTGAAATGTTTATATTGGTTTTGAACACACTGTTCTGATTTTGTGCTTCATCCTAAATATCACTGTTCTGAATAATCATTTTGTTTTTCTTCAGAAAACCAGAGGGAGAAAGGGTTTGAGAGATAAGAAACATTCATTATTGCTCTGAGTGTACAATTGCTCTCAGCCTCAAAAGACATTTGGCCTTTAACCTTTTACTGAGAAATTTAAACATTGCTATAGGAAAAAAAGGCAACATGTCAAAATTATTGCATCTGCCTGCAAGCAATATGATGAATCATCAGCTTTCCTGCCTTACGTGACTGTTTTCATGGATGTTGCTGAGAGTGCTCAGATCACTAAATCAAGATGAGAATTGGCTTTTCATCCTTCAACATTACTTCTACAAGCCCGCAGTCAGGAAGACCTGCAGGCACAGACCTGACTGCAGGCAGAACAAAACTCCTGAAATCACCCTCACCACTCTTGTCATTAAACAGAGCCTTGCACATAAGTGTAGTCTGGAATAGAAGTCATTCTCCAGCACTGCCATCCAATGAAAAAGATCTTAAGGGCGTTGGCCTTGTTCTCAAGAAGCAATTTGGTAAATATTCTGAAGCAATTTTATTGATGCAGCACTGAATGAAGCGTTATTCCTTTCCTGCCCATCACTTCTGCCTTTGCCCTCACAGTCTCTAGCCTAATATAAAATTATGTTGATGTTGACACAGAATATGTATATGATACAGCTCCATAAATATTTCATAAGCATGCAGTCTTATCTATTTGCCTGTAACAACACAGGAGCAGTTCACTATCTAAAGCGTATCAAAGGCGATGGAAAGATTCCAGTTAATATCTGTGAACTTTGGCTCAAGTCCGATGTCTGTGAAGATGTCTCCACTTGCCTCCCAAAATAACAATTGGGAAAAACATGTAGCGCATAATTTGGGTAGTATGAAATAACGTGCCAGCTATCCAGACTAGAAGACTTTTTCCATATGCTCTGATGAATGCCAAATACTATGAAGGAAAACCTGCAGAGCCATCAGGTGTAAACATTAGTGCTGTTTTATATTATAGCATTTTGTCAATGAATGTCAGTTAAATCAGAAGAAAAGTTGTACGATATATCATAATTAAATCAAAATTAAATTGCTTAATTATAATATATTGCTTAATTATTTCAGGCCTTGCAGTTTATTATATTTTGTAATGGAAGACAAAATTTGCAGTGATGACTTTCAGCTAATTAAAAATTAAGGCAAATGTAATTTATTTGCTTCCAGTTTTGGAGCTATATTTTGAAAATATACTAGGAGAATATATTTGAAGTGTTACACTTTCATTTATTTAAAAGAAGGAAAAAAAGAAGACAAAACAAAACAGAGTACTCCTCTGAACTCCAGGAACAACCCTCATTAGAGTCCTAGTGCAGTTAGAGGTCACCATATCTAATGAGGCATGCACAAATGCTTTGAGACTTGCTACAGAGCCTTTGACCTTTACACACCAATGACACTGCCTTGGTATTGTAAATAGGTATGAACGTGCTGAAAAAGAATCTTGTCTCAAAAAATGCTTTCTGCAGTGAAGAATCTTCTGAAGAGCACATGCCCACTCACAGAGATAACATTTGATGTCTTCTATTATTGTAACACTGCAGCTTTCCACATAATGGTACAAACACCGTTGTATTATCAGAGACTGCAGAGTACTGAATAATTAGATTTAAATTGGCCTTTTACAAAAAAAGGGGTTACGTTAATGCTGCAGTGCATCACTGAAGGTAAAGATCTACAAAATACTAGCAGATTATCTGCCATTTATGAATTGGTAGTTGCAAGCAAAAAAAATACCTAAAGGTTAAAAAATGAAATGTCATAGAATTCAATTATGATTTCCAGTTCAATGTTCACCACAATGATTATAGTGCTAGGTATGAAACATTACATGCTTCCCACGAAACATGTAGTCATAAATAAGAGTACATTTGCAGTCATTAATAAAAGTACAATTTCATTTACATGCTTCTATAAAACACATTGTAGACAATATTTCTTGAGCATGCCAATTCTTTGGTATACCATACTACTGCCCGTTCATACTAGTGCCATATAATCACAATAAGACATGTAAAACAAATCAACGAACAACACATGGAATACTTCAAAGTTACGCTTGTCTCCATACAGAATTAGCAAATGTGAACTAAAAATCCAGAGATGATGAGTTGAACCCCTGAGGAGGACAGGGGTTTACAGCCTTACTGCTCCCTCTGCAAGAAAAACTCTGATAAAAATGAGTATTAGCTCAAACTTCTATATAATTTTGTACTTAATTTCCTCTGAAAATGAAGCATCTGTGTAATATACAAATGCATTATGGACATACACAAGAAGGAAGAGGTTTCCTTATGGAAGTATAATTGGCTGACTGTCTTAGTATGCTGGTACGGATAATGGTGATGAGAGTTCTGGTGGAAAGCACCTTTTAAGAGAGTAAAGTAGCAAGTGCTCTTAAGAAAGGAGTAAAGAAGAGGAGTAAGACTTCAGACATGGATGATTACAGAGCACGGAGTAGACTCTGAAAAATCAGAGCTGAAAGAATGTGCTTCAAAGGCCTCTCTTTGCAAACAACTGGCATATCCAAAGTAAGATGTGAACAACCAGGGGGGACTAAAAAAACCATGACACTTCTTTACTTGTTTTCAATTGTTTCTGAAAATTAAGATAAATTTGAAAATTAATATTAAATTAATTTGAAAATTAATGAGAATGCTGTGGGATGTTCACAGTGATTCATATGAAAAGGGGATTTCCAGGATATGGAATAAGAATAAAACTCAAGATAGTGTATTAGCAAATTGTAGTAGACTTACCTCCCCTCCCCCCCCAAAAAAAGGCCAAAGGGCAGCGAAGAAAATTTGTACGGTATCTGTGTGGCTAAATTAAAGCAGGTGTACCATAGCATCTGCTAAAGGACTTAGTGAATACTTAATATCATGAAAAATAAAATGGGTGACACTCCTCCTGCAAGGTGGATTTCAGAGAATTTAATTTTGCTCATTCCTCCTCTTACATGTGTACTAACTGAGGGGACTGAGACAGAAAATAGATCAGATATCCTATGCTGACCAAATAATTCCCTCCCAGTGATAAGTTTTCTGGAAAGTGTCCTTTTACCCTGCTGCCTCTCAAATTTTTCTGCCATACTAAAAATTAAAACTAATGAAATTATTCAAAACATACAAATATAGTGTTATTATGAGTAATTGTGTAAGTTTTTTACAGCTTCTGTGCATGGAAAGAGAAAGAAACTATTAGCTTTCAGTGCTGATATGTCCAGGGTGACTATGCAGTGTTACCAGAGAAACGTTTGACACCATGTTGAAAATTTACCCTATTCCATTAGACTGTTTTTGAGGAAATTAATTCATCATTAAGGAGATGGGAACATTACCAGAATGTCTAAAGATATCTACAATAAACGATCTCTTCCTAGATTTAAGTGTTCTGGGATGTTAATAATACATTTTTTACTCATTCATCTTCCTATTAATGAAATACGCTATCTTTCTAGCTCCAGTAATGGGCCTTCATTTTAAAAGACGAGCTCAGAGAAGAGACTTTCCTGGCTTTTTATAAAGATGGGTCTGTAACTACATTTTCAGAAGAATGGAAGGTCATGACAAAGATGTCATATCAAAATAGCTTTTTCACCACTACCACAAAGGCTTACAATGCAATCCAGATTTAGTACTGCTTTAGAGAAGGTACATGAAAGGCCCAACATTTCATGGGGAAAAAAAGTTCTGATGAAGAACCTTGGTGGAGGAATTCAGGTGTCCTGTTTTTGCTGCTACTGATGCACAAGAAATTTCCCAGCAAACCTTCAGAGAATTACCCCCGCACTTTTTAGTGGAGGAGAGGCATTTCTCCTGCTGTGATATGTGAAACATCAGTTGACACTTTCTAGATCCCAGCTGTACACTAGCTTTTTAAAACTGTTATCCAATGGTGCTACTAATACCACACTAATAGTTTCATTGGCTTGAGTGAATGAACAAGATAAAGACCTTAAATCTCTTCCCAAAAGCCCATGGCCACTTTATTGC